TCAACGCCAGCCAACGTGTTGCGACCAAAAAGTCAACTCGACGACACGAGCCAAACTCAACTCATCAGTTTTAGATTTGAGACTTCGACGACGGCCAGGCGATAAACGCGACGCCGAAAGAACTTCAGCTATTCGTCAAAGCATCGAAGGGATTGAAAATCGAAGGAGTCAAGAACTGAAGCTAATCACAGGTCCTTTACACCGATCAAAGGTTGGACCAATCATATCCAAAGTATTCCAGCCTCTTCTATAAAAGGAACGAGTCTGGAACGCTTTGGAGGGGGTATCTGTAGGTATCGAAAATTACCTATAGGTCTCCACGAACAGCTTGGTACTAAGAAACAACGATGAACGTCACTATCTGATTCACAGAAGTTTGATTGATGTCGATGAATGCTTGAAGTGAATCGACGAACTACGTAAACCAACAGAATTTCAGAATAACAAAGACGCGAACTGATCGGGAACCTCGTATCGTTCACAAACGGCAAAATACCCTTCGTGTCTCATTTGATCAACTAATAATCTAATCATCGGAACTTATAGAACTCCTCATCGGATTTCCAACGCACTTTAAATCGTTCAAATCCGAGTTCGGATGAAGAAGTTACGGCGAAAACGAACAAACAGGCATAACAGAGCGTCTCAGGCTGAACTGGGGCACCCGAAGTGTCTCGGCCCAAACGAGACACCCTAAGGTGTCTCGTCCAAGGCCGAGACACCCAAGGGTGTCTCGGCCCAAGTTGAGACACCCAAGGGTGTCTCCAATGCCAGATCTGTCCGTTACGCGGTTTTAACCGCCCGGAACCCCCTCAAGCCTATAAATACAAGCCTCAGACCCTCATTTTTCCAGATCTGGATTTTTGGAGAATTGGCGAAGCCCTGTCGGATTGAAGATTGATCGAGTTCATCAACAATAGAGAAAAAGCTTCTTCAGATCTGCACCGCCCGCATCCGATCCTTAGAATTATCCCGTTGCGATAATTCTAAGAAGAGCAATTATCTCACCGTTGCCGAGATAAGCGCTTCTGCTTCTGGATCTGATCTGATTGTCAGGTAGTCCATGGATATCGACATCCCCGTCACCGGCTAAATACCCACGCAAGCAAGAGACGAAGAACGGATCTTGCGTTATTTTCGAAAAGTTGTAATCTTTCATTCTTTATTTTGAATACTTTGAATTCTTTGTAAGCAATCTATATTATAATGAATTCGACAATGAAGGCAACTTTTTCCGAAAACAACAGCAAGCGGAGTCTTCACATACTTGGCATCAAGCATGCCAAATCTTTCCAAGACATTATTGATGTATTTCTCCCGAGATAGGAATAAACTTCTTTCTCGCTTGTTCCTGTGGATCTCCATCCCCAAAATCTTCTTTGTTGCTCCAAAGTCCTTCATCTCAAACTCATGTTTGAGTTGAGATTTCAACTCATAGATTTCTGATATATCTTTAGCTGCAATCAAAATGTCATCAACATATAAAAGCAAATACACAAAAGAACCATCATTGAGCTTTTTATGATAAACACAGCTATTATATTTACTCCTAGAGTAACCATGCTCAAACATGAAAGTATCAAATCTCAAATACCATTGTCTCGGAGACCGTTTCAACCCATAAAAAGATTTCTTTAACCCGTACACATGATCTTCTTTACCTTTCATAATGAACCACTTTGCATAAAGATCTGCTCCTCAAGCTCGCCATGTAGAAAAGCAGTCTTCACATCAAGTTTCTCAAGCTCCAAATTAAAATGAGCATCCATGGCAAACAACACGCGGATTGAGGCGTATTTTACAACTGGAGAGAATACTTCATTGAAGTCTACACCTTCTGTCTGACTGTAGCCTTTAGCTACCAAGCGTGCCTTGTACCTTACATAATTTGTATTCGGAGTTCCATCTTTCTTTTTGAATACCCATTTACAGCCAATAATTTTTTGTCCCCTTGGTGGCTTTACAAACTCCCATGTCTGATTTTTGTGAAGAGACTTCATTTCTTTAGTCATCACAATAGCCCAATTTGCAGCGTCATTGCGACTAATAGTCTCCTTATAGGTAGAAGGCTCTGGAATCTCAATCGATTTTACTATACTCAAAGTATAAGCAAGCATATCTGCATAGCATTGAGGAGGTCGGATCTGCTTTTTTGTTCTCCCGGTGGAAATATTATACTGTTGCTATTGCGATGTATCAGCAACTAAAGTTAAACCTTTCATAGTATCAATTGGTTCAACATGAGCTCCCTCAAGCACTCTCCTTGAAGCTGAGCTATCTAGCTCTACCTGCTTGCTAGACTCCTTTTCAGTATCTGTGGTATCAATGACAAAATCCTTTCTTGGGTGAAGCATGGATTTCTCGTCAAAAGTAACATCCCTACTAATAATAAACTTAGGTGATTTAGGATCAGAACACCACAATCTATATCCCTTCACCCCAGTAGCATATCCTAAAAAGATAGCTTTCTTTACTCTGGGATCAAGTTTGCCATCATTAACATAAAAATAAGCAGAACAATCAAATACTCTTAAATGAGAATAATTAGCAGGGGCACTAGATCATACCTCTTCTGGAGTCTTAAAATTAATTGATGTAGAAGGAGATCTATTTATTAAATAGCAAGATGTATTGACCGTCTCGGCCCAAAAGTCTTTTAACAAATCGACATTAGAGAGCATGCACCGAGCTCTCTCTAAAAGTGTTCTGTTCAACCTTTCAGCAACTCCATTTTGCTGTGGTGTATGCTGAACTGTATGATGACGCACAATACTTTCATTCTTGCAGAATTAGTCAAACTCTGCAGAACAAAATTCCATCCCATTGTCGGTTCTGAGACGCTTCATTTTCTTTCCTGTTTGCGTCTCAATCATAAGCTTCCATTATTTGAACATTGCAAACACATCATTCTTATGCTTCAAAGGATACACCCAAAATTTTCTGTAATAATCATCAATTAATGTTAGCAGAAAATGAGCTCCACCTTTCGATGGAACCTGAGAGGGACCCCAAACATTTGAATAAATATAATCTAAAGTACCCTTAGTTCTGTGGACACCGGTACTAAAGGAGACTCTATGGTGTTTGCCGAAAATATAATGCTCACAAAAGTCTAGCTTACTAGTTTTCTGACCACAAAGCAGACATTGTTTGCTCAATACTTCTAGTCCTCTCTCACTCATATGCCTTAACCGCATATGTCACAAACATGTAGTGTCAGAATCTAAATCCTTTGAGGATGACACTACTGCAACACCTGTCACTGTACTGCCTTCAAGGACATAGAGAGTATTTACCTTCTTTCCCTTTATCATAATAAGAGAGTCTTTACTAACTCTCAAAACTCCACCTTCAGTCAAAAACTTAAAACCATTTGAGTCAATGGTGCCTAAAAAAAATTAGGTTCTTCTTTAACTCTGGTATATATCGGACATTGCTAAAAGATCTAACAATACCATCATGGGTTCTAATCTTAATTGATCTGATACCAACAGTCTTGCAAGGCATGTTATTAACAATACCATCATGGGTTCTAATCTTAATTGATCTGATACCAACAGTCTTGCAAGGCATGTTATTTCCGAACAAGACATTCCCACCATCGATAGATTGATATGTGACAAACCAATCCCTATGCGGACACATATGGTAGGAACAACCTGAATCAAGAACCCACTCATCTTGTGAATGAGTATTAATACTAACTGAAAGAACTTCATGTGAACTAGAAGACTCTTCAGTTATAGTGACAACTGAATGTTTCACCTTCCCAGACTTCGACTGTGAATTATCATTTACTTTGAGCGCTGAACAATTAGGTTTTATATGTCCATACTTATGATAGTAATAACATTCAACATTTTTTCTTTGCATGGACTTTGATCTAGGCATATTTTTAGATTTGTCTCTACCACCAACACCCTTTTCAGGACGATCACGAGCGAATAAGCCTTCAACTTGATCCTTTCCTCCCACGACAGACACTTTCTGTCTTAATTCTTTTGAATGTAAGACTGATTTGACATCCTCAAAAGAAAGTGTATCTCTACCATAAAGCATACTATTGACAAAATTTTCATAGGAAGGAGGTAATGAACATAACAAGATAAGGGCTTGATATTCTTCGTCGATTTTAACATCAATATTCTTTAAACATATAAGAACAGTGTTAAGTTTATCTAAGTGGTCTTTAATTCGCATACCTTCCTTCATGCGAAGGGTGACGAGGCGTTACTTCAAGTAGAGCTTGTTCATTAGAGATTTCGTCATGTATAAACTCTCCAACTTGAGCCACAAGCCAACGACGGTAGCTTCATTGGAAACTTCCCGCAGGACCTCATCGGCCAAACAGAGTTGTCTGGCACTATGCGCCTTCATCTCCAGCTCTTCTTTCTCATCATCAGGCATAAATTCCGACAACTTATCCTTTCCGGACAAGATTTTGAACAATCCTTGTTGTACTAGGAGAGCTCTCATTTTTACTCTCCACAAACTAAAACTATTTCTCCCATCAAATTTCTCTACTTTGTATTTTACAGAAGACATCTTGAATCCCACTAGAACAATAACTGTAATTATGAACAGTAAACATACTTGTGAATAGTAACAGTACTTATGAATAGTACCGTACTCGTGAATAGTGTCTAGTGCCTTTAAAGAGTAAATAATAATCTAACTTATTTTCTTATGTGTGTGTGTGTTTTTTCTTTTTTTTTTTTTTTGGTTCTCCATTATGCTTTGAAATATTTTATTATCATATGAAGAACATAAAGGTCTTACTTTTACAAATTTCTTATATCGTTGTCGATTCTTTCCTCTTTTCCTGTATATACTGCATTTTTTTTTCAGTTGCCAATATTTTAAGATAGGTGGATTCAAATTAGTCAGCTACTCAAAGTTGAGCTTAAAATGAAGGTTTGAAGGCAGAATCTATCCTATAATTTTATTAGGATACCGTGTATTCTTTAATTTTCTGTTCTACATGTAATATAAATTTCACCATGAAATTTCAACCCAATTTAGGTTTTTCTTCAGGAAACATGTACAACATACTCTATCATTTAGTGTAATATTGGACTTTCCTGTGAAGTAGATTAATTATTTACTTCCATATCTCAAATCATGGTTTCCTGATTGCAGATGTTCTCAAGACGTTGAAAGATAAAGATGGTGGAAATTTCTCCACGTTCTCGATGATAGCATCTGATGGAATAGATGGAGTATTAAACTTGTATAGATGTTCCCAAATAGGATTCCCGTATGAATCTGAAATCATTGGTGCAGCACAGAGTTTTTCTAGCAGAGGACTTGCACAAATCCTTTCAAATGAAAATTTGTTTCACTTACTGGATAGTAGACAAAGAGAAGAGGTAATATTTTCACTTTTAATAAATTCTGTGCATGTGTATATATTTTAAACAGCTCAATCTCTTCCATACTGCATAACTTAAACAAAATATCTTAAGATGTACAATAAAATTCTATATCAGATGGCATATATGGTACAAATTTGGCAAATTTCGCGAAACCACCCATGTCATAGCTTCAAAATTTGAAAGTGGACGATAGTTACTACATATGCAACACAGGAAATAAAGAATAAAAAATGGTAATTATGAGCAAATAAATGTTTGACTAGATATTGAAAAGTTAGCGAATATCATATATCTACAAAAAAAAAAGAAACAAGAGTAACTAAGAAATCAGGTGTTCAAAAGTGAAATTAGCCCATGGTTTCTTAAATCAAAAAGAAAACAAGCTAAACCAGAAGCAAAATATTATTCAAACTAAATCAGATGCAAAAGAACATCTTAAAAGTGCTAAAAAAGATATGCAAAAACACTTAAATTAGCAAAACTTTGCAATAAGATTTCTACAGCATATACCCAAAAAAAGTAGTTTTACTTGAACTTGAAGAAATAAAATCAGATTTCTAGAAAACAATCTACTTCAAAATGAGCACAAAAAAAAAAAGGATTTTTAGCCTTTTCAACTGAAGCCATAAGCATGCACAAGAGGGACTTGAGCAGACAAATACAAAAACAACAAATCCAATTGCATCAAGAAAATTTTTATTTCCCTTATTCATTGAACTACTAAGTATTGATGAAAATAAGACAGGAATTCTGTCAGAACTCGTTAAAATTTGGACAGAAGTCTGCTTTGCAATTCATTACTAACTCTCAGAACAACATTCAAAGCAATCATGATTTCAACATAGAATGTCAAGACTCTTGTTAGTTTGGTGCATAATTAGTACACGCAAAATTCTAATGCTAGCTCTATCTAAACTATGATACTGATATATGAGAAGATCACCTTAAATGTTGAAGTAGTTCTCCCTGTTTTAACCAAAAAGGTAGAATAACAATAATTATCTTAATTTTGAATTTAATATGAATGCATAAATTTAATTTGCTCTCATAAGTATGCAACATTTATTAATATTAATAGGATCTTTTGAAATTCATTGCAGATTAAGTTTGCTCTAGCATTTCCTCGGCGATGTCTTTTATCACGGATGGAGGCTAGAAGTATAGTTAGGCGACTGTGGCCTAGTAGTGGACTCAGAAGGAAATGCCTGGAACTTGCATGCGTAGACTTGGAGGCTCTCCAAAAAGATTATCAGAATGAAATGTATGCCTTGGAGAGGTAAGGTAGTTATTGCATTAATTGATAGTATTATCTAGAAGTAGTTGTCATAAAAAAAATTTCACTGTCATCCCCATAATCAATTATGCAAATATGTTTGAAGAATTATTTCGTTGATTGAGTAGGTGGTTGGATGAACAACGGTTTGAAGAATCAGCATTTCCTAGAAAACGCTTACCCAAGTTATTTATTGGTGCTGCTATGTCAATGTTTGAGCCGCAATTTTCATCTTATCGTACCACATTTACTAAGATAAGTTGCCTTATTGCGACAATGGATGACTTGTTTGATCTTCCAACTTCCAACTATGAAGGGTTGTGCCATCTTCGAGACGCATTCCAAAGGTACTTTTCTCCTTCATAAAAAATGTGTGGCGCACGCATCTAATGTCTGTGCGGCACATGTGCATGTGCACGCACGCACGCATATGGAGACTAAGCATATAAAACTCCGGGTTAATTGCACATAGACCCATGTAGTTTCATTGTTGCAGATAGACCTCCTGAGTTAAAATTGTTTCGACTCTGTAACCATTGGTGAAATTTTGACAAATATTGCCCCCAGGTGAAATCGGTGAGTCTGTCTGAGGGTAAAAGTGTCAAAAAAATTCAACCTGAGTGTCTATCTGCTACATTGGAACTATATGGGTAGTAAGTTTGTGCAGAGGGTCTATGTGCAAGCGTAGTACTTCAAACCTTGAGTCAGAACTCTAGTACTCCTTTTCTAATAGAAAGTTATCTAGTTGCAAGTACCTAAGCTGAAATTTTAGCAATGTGGAATTCACTAATTGAATGGGGAAAATATGAACTAAAGAATTCATTTTTATTCATGGTTAAACAAGATGAATGTCGTTATGATCTTCATGTAAATGTGGAAGTACTAGAACGCTTTTCTTTCATTTAGGTGGGATGCATCTCCAGTTGAGAATCTGCCTCAACACAAGGCAATTTTTAAGAGCTTCCAGCAGAACCTAACTGAGATTGCTGCGACTGCAAGAACCATTCAAGGTCGTAATGTTCTCCCCTACATAAAAGAAGCGGTAAGTTCTTCAAACTCTTTTCTCCCAAAACTTCAAATTCGAAAACCATTTAATAAGCAGGACAAATGAATGCGAATGATATATAAACTCAAACTATGTTAATCTACACATTCACACATAATATATAGTTAGGCAATAACATAGGAATTATTCTCACTATTATAGTTGGGAACAAAAGTTAATCCATTCACTCTTATGGAAATGAAGGCTATAAAACTAAATAATATTGAAGTATTCAATTAAGTTCAGTATAGTTTCTAGGGTAAATTCCATAAAACCACCATGAAGTTTGACCCAATTTGAGATAACCCTCAAAAGGTATGGAATATCACCTAACCCCAAAACTATTTTCAGATATCTAACAATGTTTAAGGGCTGAGTGACGTTTCCTAACTTTTTGGGGCTATCTCAAAATGGCCAAACTTCTTGGGGGTTGTTGTGAAATTTTGACTATTGTTATGTATGTCAGTGGCAGGATGTACTGGACGTATTCCTCATAGAAGCTGAATGGAGGATCTCAAGGCACATTCCTTCCTTTGAGGAATATCTCCCCGTCGCAGTGACCAGCTCGACTGCAATCGCCTCCCTGTCAACATTTATTCTCATCCTAGGGATGCCAATCACCGACGAAACCCTGAGATTCATCGGTAAGGATTCACGCCTGTTGTACCTAGCGAGCTTAGCCTCGCGGCTCACAAACGACGTAGTCACAAGTGCGTCGGAGGAGGCAGAGGGGAAGTTGTTCAATGCAGCCAGATGTCACCTGAAAGATGATGGAAATTGCACGAGAGAGGACGCAGTTGTGACTGTCAAGGAGATGATCGACGCTTCATTCCGCGAGCTGGAGCACGAGATGTTTAGATGCAGGGGGAACGTGCCAGAAGAGTGCATCCGGGCGGTGCTAGGCTGGGTGCAAGCAATGTGCATTTCATATAGGAAGCTTGATGGATACAAGAGCATGAAGGACACTGAGTATGAAGAGCTTGTGAAGGATTATATTGGTTCTTGAAGGTCACTAATTTGAGAGAGTCTTAAGTCTCAAGCTATTAGTAAACTTGCTATGCATAGCGCAAGTATGGAATTACAGAACTAGAACTTCTATGATTTGCGTGAAAACAACTCCCCTCCTAGCTTACCAGATTTGAGGTAGACCGTGTGTTGACCAGTTGCCATTTAAAGGGTAAATTTCACTAAACTCCCCTAAACTTTAATTTGGGGGATTTGGCACATAACAGTAGTCAATTAAAAAAATTTCCAACAGGCTCCCCGGCACGGATACTCGTTAAATGGCAAAATGATAAAAATGCCCTTTTTCAAAGATAACCCTAAGTTTCATTCCCATTCTCAAAATAGCCCCTACAAAACCCCTTACCTCGTTCTCATCTCAGGTAATTCATCAATGCTCCTTCATACTCATAAAACCCATATTCGTATAGTTAAGCCAGATTTTATCAGAAAATTACTCATTTGAACTTTGAATTTTATCAGAAAACCTCTAAACTTAATGGTGCTTTTCTGATAAAATCTCAAAATTAAGGGGGAGTTTTTTAGGAACCCCTAAATTACTTAAGGGGTTCTTTTAATATTTTCAAAATTAAGGAGGATTTTATAATAATAATGCAAAGTGAAAGGGGGTTTTATGACATTTAGCCTTTGACTAATACAAGGGTATTCCCATAGTAGCAATCACAAAATCAACTGAAAAGAACCGAAAAATCAGGAAACCCTACCTCGTTCTCAAGCTCTACAACAGCCCTCGAAGCCAGAAAAATTAACAGCCCCCAAAGAGAGGTAATTAATGCTTGTCTGTTGAGTTCTCCATGCAAGTGTAGTGGTCCATTTCCCCATGCAATCTCACGGCTCAGGCAACCCAACAGTCACGAACAGCAGCCCTCTCACTCCTCAACAAGCAACTCTCGTTCATCGTCCTTCAGCTCTCTCTCAATCGAGAAATCGTCTTCTAGTCACTCCACAACCAGCAGCTGTCCTTCATCATATTTGAGCTCTCTCGTTCATCGTCCATCATCTCGCCATTCTTAAACATTTTATGGAGATTTAAATGGAGAGCTTGAATTCAGGTGAGCAGGTTCTAGTTATTTTTATTGTAATCAATCCAGATTCAGTATTTCAATACTTAGTCATATGACTTATTATCTAGGAGTTTACATTCTTAAACATTTTATGGAGATTTAAATGGAGAGCTTGAATTCAATTGAACACGTTCTAGTTGTTAATCTTGATTCACTGCATTGAATCGAGATTCATTGTTAGAGACTGCAGTGATTTTCATAATTTATTCACTTGTTTACTGTAGTGAATCTGGATTCAATGCATGAATCGAGATTCACTCCAGATTAATTAGCAATAATATGAATTCAATGCAGTGAATCTAGATTTACCCCAGTGAATCTAGATTCATTGTAATGGATCCAGATTCAGTATATCAAATCTTAGTCATATGACTTATTATCTAGGAGTTTACATTCGTAAACATTTTATGTAAATTTAATTGGAGAGCTTGAATTCAGTTGAACACGTTCTAGTTGTTAGAGAATGCAGTGATTTTCATAATGTATTCACATGTTTACTGTAATGAATTTGGATTCAATGCATTGAATCCAGATTCACTACAGTAAACATGTGAATATATTATGAAAATCATTGCATTCTCTAACAACTAGAACGTGTTCAACTAAATTCACATGTTTACTGTAGTGAATCTGGATTCAATACAGTGAATCGAGATTCACTCCAGTGAAACCAGATTCATTGTATTGAATCCAGATTCAGTATATCAAAACATAGCCATATGATTTATGTTATTTTATTTTCAGTTATAGGCAGCAATGAACAAATAAAGGAACCACATGCTATAAATGCATCGGACAGTGATTTTAGGTAAGATGGAATGGACGAAGTTAGCTCGATTCCTTTTCAATCACCAGGTGGTGGTATGTATTAGAAACCTCGGGTTGAAGCTGAATTTAAACCTTATATAAACCAAAGCTTCCGATCACTAGAGTATGGTATAGAGTTTTACCGAGAGTATGGACGTAAAAGTGGGTTTGAGATCAGACGGCATACAGAGAAGAAACATGAGGACGATACAGTTCTTCTTAAACACATTGTTTGCAGTAGAGCTGTCAGCAATGAATCAAAGATGGATGTTGATTTTGAGGATTTTAGTAGCATTTCGAAAAAGAGAAGGAGAACTGTATCTAGTAGATGTGGTTGCAAAGCTAAAGTCGTTTTTAAGTTCGATGGTTTGAAAGGATATAATGTTCTCTCATTCGTTGAAGAGCATTCTCATTTTTTGGTCTCCGATAGTGGGAAACAATTTTTGAAGTCAAATAGAGTTCTCGGTCTCGCACATAAGAAACTTGTATTTGATGGTGCAAAAGCCAACATGGGGCCTAACAAAATATATAACTTTGCTAAGAAGTTGTGTGGAAGTTATTCTAATGTTGGTGCTACGTGTACCGAGTTTAAAAATTGGATTAGGGACGTGAAGCTTTATATTGGTGATCGAGATGCTCAAATGATCATCAAGAAGTTCACGGATAAGAAGGAGATGTGTGATGGATTTTTCTATGATTATGCAGTCGATGAAGGGGGTCGATTAACTCGCATCTTTTGGGCAGATGTTATTGGACGAAGAAATTACGATGTATTTGGAGATGTGATATCATTTGACTCTACATATTCCACAAACAAGTAAGATTTTATAGTTAATCTCTTACGATTTTCAATATTGGAATTATATATCATAGTGAATATTATATTTTTTGTATGTGATACAATAGGTACAACATGAAGTTTGTTCCATTCACTGGTCTCGACAATTATAAGAAGTGTGTTGTATTTGCAGTAGGATTGATAGCTAAAGAGGACATTGATAACTATGTCTGGATTTTTGAGGTATTCATGAAATGCATGATTCGCGAGCCAAAGTGTATTATTACAGATCAGTGCCCTGCCATGAAGCAAGCTATACCAACTGTCTTTAGAGAAGCACGTCACCGTTTGTGCATGTGGCACATCATGAAAAAATTTAACCAAAAGGTAATGAATCCCACATATAAATATCATTAATCCTCATTAGATAAATATTGAATCTTTCGTTATATATTTATATTGTAGTTAGCAAAATGCATTTCAAAGATGGATGATTTCAAGAGGAAGATCAATGCACTGATTTGGAGTATAGATATAGATCCAGCAACATTTGAAGTAGGTTGGAAAGATGTTATGAAAGAATTTAAGCTTGAAAGTAATGAATGGTTGTGTGAACTGTATAACATTCGGGAGTCATGGATTCCAGCCTATTATGCTAATGATCCAACGGTTGGTTTATTGCGTACTACATCAATATCAGAGAGTGAGAACAATTTCTTTGACAAATTCAACCGTAGATCTGACACATTGACAGAATTTCATCTCCGATATGAGAGTGCTATGGAGAAGCAAAGGCATACAAACGCAAGATTAAACTATGAAGGAACAAAGTCGATGCCAAGAATGGACACACCATTGTTATTGGAGAGGGATGCAGCAGAGTTGTACACTCGAACAATGTTTTATGAGATACAGAAAGAGATAATGTCATCCTGTTATGATATGAGTATCAATAGTATATCAGAAGAAGATTGTGTGAAGGTTTTTTCCATAAAGGACAAAAAGAGACATGGAAAAATATTTGAGGTAAAACTTAATAACAGAGATTGAAACAATAAAAATTGAATCCAGATTCAATGTAGTAAATCGCGATTCAATGAAGTGAATCTCGATTCACACCACTGAATCGAGATTCAGTGACCATTTCATGCGCTTGTCATTTTCTTTTTTTATTCGGTGCTAATATACATTGTTTTTTAAATTTTAGGTGAAACATGCTTATTTGAACAATGACGTGCAATGTACGTGTAGGCTGTTTGAGAAAATGGGTATAGTATGTAGACATGGTTTTTTTGCACTGAACCAAGCTGATGTAACAAAAATACCAAGACATCTTGTTGTGAACCGATGGACAAAAGGTGCTGAGATGAGGCATTCATTGCAGTTCAAGGAAATGTCAGAATAGTGCAATGCAATTGAAGTTACAAATCGCAAGTTGAATGACATATGGTATGATTTCCAATCCTGTGTGAGCAATGCAATTGAAGTTACAAATCGCAAGTTGAATGACATATGGTATGATTTCCAATCCTGTGTGAGTTGGCAGGTTTAGATGGTGAGAGACTTGACTACCTGGAAGGGAAGTTGAAGGAGTTGAAGCACAGTTTGCGTGAATCTAGTTGGAAATCTGACACACAGAACAAAAATAATATAATGGAGTTTTTTGTTGGCTCAAAAATACCAGCTGAAGTGATTGTTAAACCTCCCATTGAAGGTAGAAACAAGGGGTGTGGACGGAGAATTGTTGGTGATTATGAGAAATCAATTAGTCAACGAAATAAGAAGGTGCCAAGGTTGTGTAATATGTGCAAAAAAAATCGATTTCCATGACGCACGGGCATGCCCATTAAAGAAAACATTACAGCAGAGTGATGTTTAATTTAGTTATCATATTTTGTTTCAAAATCATGTTTAGTAATACATTTCTTATTAAAATTGCTAAATTGTGTAATTCTTAACTACATATATTTACTAGATTATTAATTACATGGTTATGTTGTGTCATGTTAGTATATTGAATTGAGATCTACCCATATAGCATGTGAATTCCATTATTATTAGTTGTATTATTTAAGCAGGTATGATAAAGTCGTTGTATGCAGTCATCAGTTTGAATTTAATTCGCGTTAAGCGATTCTGGACTAACTATATTGAATCTAGATTCATTACAGTGAATCTAGATTCTCTGATATTGAATCTCGATATCACTATAAGGATTCATTATAATCAATCAAACAATCAAATTACTTGATTGTTTCGGTTTAAGTTATTCTGGACTAACTATAATGAATATAGATTCATTATAGTGAATCTGGATTCACTGAACTGAATATGGATTCACTATAGTGAATCTATTTTCAATCAAATAAATTACTAAAAACTTAAGATAATATTGAACCGGTGAATATAGATTAAATACACTCAATCCACAATAAGTATGATTAACTTACTGAATCTTTCACTGTAGTGGATCTGGATTCACTGCGTTGAATCTAGATTCACTATAGTGAATCTAGATTCAATCAAATAAATTAGTAATAACTTAAGATAATATTTTGAATCTAGATTCACTATAGTGAATCTAGATTCAATCAAATAAATTAGTAATAACTTAAGATAATATTGAAACAGTGATTCCAGATTAAATACATACAATCCACAATAAGTATGATTAATTTATTGTATGTTACATAAAACCTTGAATTATAACTCACATTCTCTGCTTAAATCAAAATTCTTCCAATTGCATTCACTACCTTCACAATATTTTCATATATCCAAACTATTCACAAATCTAGAAATAAAATTATGACAAAGCTATTCTTATAAAGTATATTTACATAGAAAAGCAGTTCAACACAAACTGGAGTATTCTATAACATTAAGTGACAATGTATACTCAATAACTGTAAAATTCAACATTGGAAATTATGCTGATTACAGAATATCATTTTCTTTGAGATCTTGTGGTCTTTCTCGTCTCTTTTTTGACATTGGCAGTTTCAGCATGGTGTTGTTGAGCTTTGCTGATGACTTTTTTGGCCAATTCATTTGTTGGTTCAGTAAGAATTTGGCAACAGTATATAGACCTCAGTCTATGTAGCTGATTTTTTAATCGCTCCTGTCGATATGAACAAAAGTTCAGTTCAAGATTCAGTAGCTATATTCTAAATTTTATTAATTCAAAAAGACTAACTGTAAACTATCAACACATTATTAGTTTAAACACTTCCACCCTCTCTATGAAAACCAGAGTTCCAATTTGCTGTACCACCGCCCATGTAGGTCTCCATATGTCTCATGACAAAAATACCACAATCAAATTTGTTTTTGGCCGTTCTCCACTCCATTTCAAGTCTGTCAGGCGTTAATGTATTTATTTCACTCGCCTTGTTATGTTTTTTGTGTGCCAAATATCTCACAAAATTCTTATGCTGTTTAATCAAAAGTAATCAGTGTCACATAACAAATCCAAATTATCATACAGTAATGTTTAATGTAATATACAAATTATTTTGGTTGTTTATATGGAAACAGTATTAATGACAGTGAATCACGATTTATTGGATCTAGCTCGCCAGGATTTAATAGAGTTAGTTATCTTGGACTAACTCTAATGAATCTTGATTCACACTAGTGAATCTGGATCCACTAGAATTAGCTATAGCTAGTGGATCGTGATTCCGTAATGTGAACACAGATTCACTAGCTCTAGTGAATCGAGATTCATAGTAAGATGTGAATCCAGATTCACTAACTCTAGTGATCGAGATTCACTAGAGTTAGCGAATCTGGAATTCTCTGACTCTAGTGAATCCAGATTCACTATAGTGAATCCAGATTCACTTATTACTGTATTCTGCCAACGTAAGGTGGAAAAACATACCAAACCCTCAGGACGACCTTGGTATTTTTCCTTGTAGTCTGGGCAGTTTTTGCTATTGTCAATCAGCTCCATACTTGGATTCTTTAGGCCATAGCACACAATGTAGAAATGCTCAAACGCATTTATGGGAAAGAAGACCTAATGGTTGTAAAATTTAATCAGAGATTTTACAGATATAGTTAAAATTCGGTTAAAGAACAAAAACATTGTCTTCGAATCTTTACCATATCAATCTCATTAAACTTCATATTTTGATACAGAGCAAGTTGCTCATCCATCCGGGAAGCAAACCTATTGTATCTCAATTCATCATTGGCCTCATCTGTGTGATGAATGTTGCAAAACTGTACAACATAAAACTGGTTACATAAAATGTAACTCAAAGTGTTATTTTAAATTAAATAAAGGAAGATACGTACGGTTGTCTCAACATTGCAGAAGAATCTAAGTGGAGAATTTTCGGACTTCATTTTTTCTCTGCTGTTCAAAATATAGGACCAAATGCTGATTAAATTTGCCTCAATGTCCTCAGAAGGAAGGAAAGTCTTGAAAGCAGGTACGAAACATTCAATTTGTCTCCACTTAAAAACCATTTCACTGAAACAACAGTAATAATATTCAATTTAATAAAGGGACAAAATACTAAAAACAGTGAGTCTCACACCTAAAAATAAAATATCAAATAAGATTTAAGAACTCACAAATTCTCTTCTTCAGCAGAATTATCACCTGAATGCCTTGCTTCTTCTCTATGCACCCAATTCCATATGATGCTTTCCAGCTGACTTTGCCTAGCAGTAATCAGCAGAATCATCACCTGAATCCCTTCCCGCATGTCCCTTATTTTCGGTCACATGAACTTTCTTACCTTTACATTCATCTACTGCAGCAGCATCTTCAGCTTGTTTATCAGTTCTTCGTACAGAGTCATCAATGATTTCAGATTCACAAGCTTTATCAATCTGAACAACATCAACCATTTCCACTGTCTCAGTCTGAGTATCCTGTGTTAGCCCAAGAGAAAAACTAGGTTCTTCAGTCTGTGGGGTACCACATTCACTGAGCTTTCGCCTCATAGGTCTGTCAACCTTTTTCATGCTAACAGACTCTATAATCTTATCAACCTCTTGAATAAAGTTTGGGGAGACTTGTGTTTGTGGTAACTCAGCTGATATTGGATCAACAGCAGGGGAACTATGCATATCTCTACTCACCTTGGTGTTCACATTAGGGATATCATCAACAATGTTTCCCACGGCTGTTTCATTATCACAGGTACTTACACGATGTCCACACCCCTGCACAAGAACATTTGAAACTCTCTGTTGAATTTGAAAGAGCTCATTATCATTGGGGAACAGCTTTCTCATTGTCTCACACTCAGCATCATATCTATCTTTTGCAGATTCCAACTCTGCAGCTCTCCGTTGCACCCTCTCAATACAATCCTGCAGTTTGAATTTCACAGACATTGGTCACCATAAATTATTAACATGGCGAGAGACAAGATTCGATAGTTTGAGATTACATTCAATGTATTTGAATCGAGATTCAAATGACTGAATCAAGAGTCGACTAAAGTAAATCCAGTTTCACTTTAGTGAATCGAGATTCAGTAGTAGTGAATCCAGATTCACTTCAGTAAATCGATATTGAGTATCATTGAATCCAGATTCAATGATGTGAATCAGAATTCAGTTTAACTTAATCGATAACCACTGATCTGAAACGAGATTCATTACTAGTAAAAACGATTCATTGAACTGAATTGACATTCAGTTTAAGTGAATCTCGATTCACTCCTACTGAATCGAGATTAAATTGAATAAACAACGTCTTGCAACTTAATTTGCTAACCTTTCTAATTGTCTCAACACTTTTAGGCGAGTTTCCAATAGCACTCTGCATTCGAGATGAAGGTGCAAGTTCAACCCTCTCTGTAAATGCACCTTTGCCAAATGAATCTGTACTTATTTCCTCTGACTGTCTTTCCTTCAAGGCCAAGTCAGTCCAGCCTAAATATGTAGGAGTTGTTCTCTCAACCAACCTCCTCCCTTTGAACAGGACTCGATCGACATAGAAAAGCTAGAAAGACGGAGATAAGAAATAAAGCACACCAATTAGTAATCATCAAGTAAAACTACTTTAAGAAATAAAGCACACCAATTAGTAATCATCAAGTAAAACTACTTTAACTACAGTAATGTAAAAATAAATCAATATTATACAAGTGACTTACAATCAAAAATGCAAGAGGACCCGTGTAGAATTGTTTTGTCGGGTCTACCTTCCACTTATGTTGGCTTTCTATCATTGAGTCAAGCAAGAAAGAACACCAATTGTATTCAGAGCACTGATCAACATTATCACCAAGAACTAGAATCCGTTGGTTGACATACGGATTGCTAAGCGACTGGATCATGCTGTTGTGAAAGAGAACCAAGAAATTCAGTTTAAAAACAGGTTAACATCAGAACTCTGCTTCAGTTTCTCAGACACAGCCCCTGGAGTAATTTTCCAACCAAGACTGTCTGTGAATTGAGCCCTCCATTCATCCACCAATGCTGACTTCCCAATACTGGAGGCTGGTATACGCTTCCTACCCATAGGTAATTCCATCACTTGATGTACATCTTCCTCTGTGATACTGATTGATCCTCTGGGAAGATTAAGCGCAACGGATTCACTGTCAAAGGACTGCAGAATCTTGTACCCCAACATATGTAGCAGTTCCTTTAATCCAAATTGTAAAAGACCTCCAAGTCCAGCTAGTCTCACCCATTCTTTTTGGGAGTCAGAGAGTGACAAAACCATATCAGAGAATATCTTTGGAGAGACCCGTATACTAGTCAACTCCTTAGGTTCAGACCTCACATTTTTTTTTCAAAACCTTCTCCAGTGACAAAAAAAATATAATTAGATCAAATTATCCATCAGTTAATACCAAAAAAACATGCAACTAAATCTCGATTCACTTGAGTGAATCCAGTAGTGAATAAAGATTTTTAGTACACCAACCTTTTTCATCTTCTTCCTTCCTTTTGTGATCTGTTCATTGTCTTCATCTCTCCTACGCTTTGATTTTTCCTCACCAGCAGGATTATTTGCGGGGTTGACGAGGTCATCGTCACTGCTGGGCACTGACCTCACATATTTTTTTTCACAACCTTCTCTAGTGACAAAAATAATATAATTAGATCAAATTATCCATCATTGAATACACACAAAAATTAAAGATGTTTAGTACACCAACCCTTTTCATCTTCATCCCCTTTGTGGTATGTTCATTGTCTTCATCCCTTGTACGCTTTGATGTTTCCTCACCGGCAGGATTACTTGGGGGTTGATGAAGTCATCGTCACTGCTGGGCATGTTCACAGTGCGTGTTGTCCTCTGTTGAGGTATAGGTGTAAATACCTTAACAATCTCAACACATGATGTTTGTTTGTTCCTTGAGCTAGATCGTACACCTGCTAAACTGATGACAATTCATTTTTTAATGAGACTAGCCTTTGAATAATGCATGGAAAGCATGAAGGTGGAATCACATTATTGAGTCAAGATATTATAATCTGAATCGCGATTCACTCCAGTGAATAGCGATTCGCTGAAATGAATCTCGTTTCACTCCACTAAACCACGATTCACTTGAGTGAATCTCAATTCACTCCATTGAATCGATGTAGTGAATTGAGATTCACTGTAGTGAATCGAGATTCACTTGAGTGAATCTCGATTCACTCAAGTAAATCGAGATTCAACAAAATGTATTGAGATTCAACAAAGTGAATCCAGATTCAACAAAATGTATCGAGCTTCAGCAAATTGAATCCAGATTCAATGATATGAAACCAACTCCATGACATACCATACATTGTTTTAGTGTCTCGCCCCTCAACGCAACAAGGAAAAACTGATCATCGTTACAGTTTAATTTTACTGTTAGTATACATAAAGCATATACTTTTTCCATCCTATATACTCGGCCTCGGATCATATTTTGGAAAGTTTTCATCCTATATACTCGGCCTCGGATCATATTTGTTATTTTTTACAAACAAACAAACAGTCATGATAAAGTTGAATTTTAAAGAGCAATCATTTTTCCGTAACTGGTAAGAACATCCAATATATGAATCTCAATTTTCTACGAAGTATCAGGATTCACATTAGTGAATCGAGATTCTCTATGTTATATGAATCTCAATTTTCTACGA